TCCCTTCAGCTTCCCACCATAACAGACAAAGAGCTGGTCTGAGGTCCTGAAACACTGCGTTCTGTCTACATAGATGCGAAGAGCACGTACTGGACAGAGCAGTGCCAAGGCTGGGTCTGCCTCCTCCTGGGGCAGCGCTTGCAGGTTCACCACCTGGTCCCGAAAGGGAGTGGTAGGAACCTTGGGCACATATCCAAGCCGGGGTCTCAGGATCACGTGAGAGTACGCCGGCCCGAATTCCAGGCACGCTTCGTCAACGGAGAATGCGTGCAGGTCCCCTACCCTCTTAACGGAGGCCAATGCAGTCAGAAGTGCCGTCTTCATTGACAGGAAGTTAAGCTCGACTGACTGTAAAGGCTCAAAGGGAGCACTACGCAGGGCGGTTAAGACCACTGCGAGGTCCCAAGAGGGTACGAGAGAAGGGCGAGGAGGATTCAGTCTCCTCGCTCCTCTCAGGAACCTGACGATCAGGTCATGCTTCCCCAAAGACTTACCTTCTATAAGGTCATGCTGTGCGGCAATAGCGGCGACATAGACCTTAAGGGTGGAGGGAGACAGCCTTCGCTCCAACCCTTCTTGAAGAAAGGAAAGCACAACACTGATCGAACAACTCCGGGGCTCTTCTCGGCGAGAAGAGCACCAGCTGACGAAGAGGTTCCACTTCAACGCATAGAGGTGTCTCGTGGACGACGCTCTAGCGGAAGTGATGGTAGCCGCCACCGCTGGTGGCAGGGTACTCAAACCTGCCTCGTCCCGTCCAGGAGCCACACGTGGAGGTTCCACAGATCGGGACGAGGGTGCCATAGGGTGCCCCGTCCCTGAGAAAGGAGGTCCTTCCTCAGAGGAATCGGCCAAGGAGGTGCTGTCGCGAGGAGTACAAGTTCGGAGAACCAGGTCCGGGTGGGCCAGTACGGCGCGACCAGAGTGACCTGCTCCTCGTCCTCCCTGACCTTGCGCAGGAGTTGCGCAAGAAGGCTCACTGGGGGAAACGCATATTTGCGGCCCCGCGGCCAGCTGTGCGCCAGAGCATCCGTGCCGAGCGTGCCCTCGGTCAGGGAATAATACTGGGCGCAATGGGTCGAGTCGTGAGAGGCAAACAGATCTATCTGTGCGTCCCCGAACTGGTCCCAAATCAGCTGAACCGACTGGGGATGGAGTCGCCAATCTCCCGGGAGGGGCTGAAACCGTGAGAGCTCGTCGGCTGCACAGTTCAGAGCTCCTGGAATATAGATGGCACGAAGCGACCTCAGATGCTTCTGACTCCAAAATAGGAGGTGGCGGGCGAGTTGCGACATACGGCGAGAGCGCAGACCACCTTGACGGTTGATGTACGCTACAGTCGCGGTATTGTCTGATCGGACTAGTACATGCTGGCCCGAGAGCACGGCTCGGAAGCGGCGCAGGGCGAGCTGTACAGCCAGCAACTCGAGGCAATTGATGTGCCATAAGCGGTGGGGTCCTGTCCAGGAGCCCGCGGCAGCACGTCCATTGCACATGGCACCCCAGCCCGTGGTGGAGGCATCTGTCGTTACAACAACATGCCGGGAAGCTCGTTCCAGAGGCACTCCTGCCCGTAGAAAGCTGAGGTTCCCCCACGGGGTGAAGGTCTGACGGCAGGTCGGAGTAACTGGTACTCGGAGCGTGCCGTGTTGCCATGCCCACCTCGGGACTCGGTCGCGAAGCCAAAGCTGAAGCGGTCTCATATGAAGCAATCCGAGCGGCGTTGCCGCGGCTGCAGATGCCATATGCCCCAGGAGCCTCTGAAAAAGTTTCAGTGGAACCGCACTCTTGCCCTCGAACTGTCTCAGGCAAGTCAGCAGTGACTGCGCGCGCTCGCTCGTAAGCTGCGCGGACATGGCGACCGAGTCGATCTCCATACCGAGAAAAGAGATCCTCTGCGCGGGGCAAAGTTTGCTCTTCTCCCAGTTGACCCGAAGGCCCAAACGGGCTACATGGCGGAGTACCAAGTCCCTGTGTTCGCAAAGCTGATCTCGAGAGTGAGCTAGAATCAGCCAGTCGTCGAGATAGTTCAGAATGCGAACCCCGTGTTCCCGGAGGGGAACAAGGGCTGCCTCGACGACCTTCGTAAAGACGCGAGGGGACAGGGCTAGCCCGAATGGGAGAACTGCGTACTGATATGCCTGACCCTCGAAAGCAAACCGAAGGAACGGTCTGTGTCGAGGGAGAATGGAGACATGAAAGTAGGCGTCCTTCAGGTCGATCGCTGCAAACCAATCCTGGTGCCGCACACATTCGAAAACGCGTTTGGCGGTGAGCATCTTGAACGGCAGCCTGTGAAGGGAGCGGTTCAGAACGCGCAGGTCCAGGATTGGCCGTAACCCACCGGTTTTCTTCGGGACAATGAAATACGGGCTGTAGAAGCCGGTCTTCATTTCGGCTGGAGGGACAGTCTCGATCGCACCCTTCGCCAGCAGGGTAGCAACCTCCGCTCTCATGATAGGGGCATTGCCACCGACCAAAGTGGAGCGGACTCCCCTGAAGCGGGGAGGAGACCGCGCGAACTGAATCGCGTAGCCGAGCCTGATCGTTCGTGCGACCCAGCGGGACAGGTTGGGAAGCTCTAGCCAGGCTCCCAAGGACTGAACCAGCGGGGTCATGCGAACCACAGACTTCCCGTCGGTGGGGCAGCGAGGCGGTATGACTGACCCAGACGTGGACGGCATAGCGGCCCGATGTGGGGGTGCAGTCATGAACCGCGCCCTGACAGAGGAGACCAGGGAAGGACGAATGTTCCACGGGGGTCTGCTCTGCCAGGGGTCTGGCGACAGAGGGGGATGAGAGCGGCATGGTCCGGGGACGGCGCGCACTGTCATCCGGCTCTGGGACAGAGGAGGACGAGGGGTGCACGGCCCGGGGGCGGCGCACCGTGTCGTCCAAGAACTCTGTATGCTCAGGGATGAATGTGTCACTTCTCTCAAGATTCTCCCCCGGCCCTCCACCGGGGGAAGGAGTGGTCCTGCTACCACCTCCTGAGAAGTGTACATCATCCCTGAGCAGCCCGTCTCAGGAGCGCCGCTTGACCCGGCATTTAGCGGGGGGCGGGACTGGAGAGGGCTGGGGCGCCTTCCTACGGCCTCCTCCGCGACCGGGCCCGGGTGAAGGCTGCTGCTTGGGCCGGGCGGGAGGGGTGGGAGCCGTAGGAGGGCGCCCTCGGCGGGAAACAGACTGAGTATTCTGCCCGGTCGGCTGAGTGGAGGCAGCAGCGGGCCGTCGGGGCAGAATGTGCTTAATAGCCTCAGTCTGTTTCTGGGCAGTCGAGAACTGTTGGGCAAAATCCTCGACTGCACCGCCGAAAAGGCCATCTTGCGATATGGGGGTGTCGAGCAGCCGGGACCGCTCGGCATCCTCCACATCAGCAAGATTAAGCCAGAGGTGTCTCTCCTGGACCACGGCTGTGGACATCACCAAACCCAGGGAGCGTGCGGTCACCTTCGTCGCTCGGAGAGCAAGGTCGGTGGCGGCGCGCAGCTCATTGAAGAGCCCCGGGTCTGTCCTGCCCTCGTGCATGTCCCTGAGCATCTGGGCCTGGTAGACCTGCAGAATGGCCATGGCATGCAAAGAGGCGGCTGCCTGTCCCGCAGCTCTGTAGGACTTCGCCACTAACGCAGACGAGTACATACAGGCTTTGGATGGGTGCTTAGGCTCACCACGAGAAGAAGCGCTCTGAGGACACAGTTGCATCGCAACAAAGCGTTCAACCGGGGGGAGCCCAGTGTACCCACGGGCAGCGGCCTCATCGAGGGGAGGAAAGGCGGATGAAATCAGCGAGCGGTCACGGGAAGACATGGGAGTCTTCCAGGACTTCGAGATCTCATCATGCACGTCCGGGAAGAAAGGTATCGGGGCCTGACGCGGACGGGGGTCTGCAGCCTGACCCAAATACCAGTCATCCAGCCGCGAGCGCTCGGGGCAGGGCGGAGGGTTCCACTCTAACCCGATGCTCGCGGCGGCTCGAGACAGCATGGCCGTCATCTCTGGATCAGACTCTAGCACAACTGTATTCACACCCGAAGGTGGCAGCTGTGATGAGTCTTCACTTCCAGAAGACTCAGACCCACCTTGTGATGCTGCGATAGACATCGCGTCATCCTCTGGAGCGTCAAAGGAAACCCGCGGGACACCCGAAGATGATCCCGCCGGAATCCCCCGAACACTCACGGGTTGCAGCACTGGAGAGGATGCGGCTGGGCACGGACTGATAGTCGGCGCTTTGTTCCAAACCGTCATCCTCAGATCACCCTGGCCACCAGCCGAAGTACTAGCTCTATTTCTAGAGTCAGTAGATCGGGGTGTGGATGAGGGGACCCTCACTCTTGCGAGATCACCGAGTCTTGATCGTAATGCTGCGATGGTCATGTTCCCACAGAGAGAACATGAGTCATCCACGAGTGCTGCTCTAGCGTGATTAATGCCCAAACACACTATGCACCACTCGTGCCCATCAGAGTCATCAACGAGTCTACCGCAACCAGAAGTGCACGGGCGAGGCATCTTTAAAAAGACGTGCCGCGTGCAAGCTCTTTTGTGAGAAAAAGAAACTCTGACTGTGTTGAAGCGCCCGGGGAGAAACACACTCGCTGTCGAATCACGGACAGAAAAGCAGGAAGCGCGTCCTCGCCGGAGATCGCCGTCACACCAACACCAGAGAATCTCGCTCGTCTGCAGAACTGACAGTACAGGAATGGCTTGTGGAGCGAAGGATCACCTTGGCTCCGAAGCGAAAACATGCCTATTTGCTGCCAGCGTCCTCCTTAAATACCCACGAGGTGAGGCGGAGTTACGCTATGCAAATTCCGCAGACCCATGGCATTTCTTTGCCATTGGCTCGTTTTGTAGTACTCGAAGTCGATTGGCTTTCTAAGCGAAACCCCCATTCGTCGTCATCCGACGGAACTCGGAGTGACAACGAAAGGGAACTCACTATTTTGCCATTCTCATTTTCTTGTTTTTAGCCCGTCAGTGACTCAGGAATCAGACGTTCCTTTGCCAGTTCTAAATATGGCAACACTGGGGCCCATGTGCAACACGTCAATCTTGAACTACGCAAACCTGTCCGATGAAATAACCAATATTTCCCATCACCTGAATGAAAGCTCGCAGGTCGACGAAAACAGCACGGAGATCCTGGCCGTAATATACCTCGTTGTGTTCGTCGTGGGTTTGACAGGAAACTCTCTGGCCATTTTCGTGGTCCTGCGCTACACCAAAATGAAGACGGTCACTAACATGTACATCTTAAACCTGGCAGTGGCTGACGAGCTGTACATTCTGGGACTGCCATTTCTCACCACCCACAACGTGCTCAGCTACTGGCCGTTTGGAAACTTCCTCTGCCGTATTCTGATGTGGGCGGACTCCATCAGTCAATTCACTAGCACATTCTGTCTGACAGTAATGAGCATTGATCGCTATATGGCCGTGGTACATCCTATCCGCAGTGCAAGGTGGAGGCGACCCAGTGTTGCCAAGGTGATAAATAGCATGGTATGGGCACTGTCCTGTCTGCTGACACTGCCAGTCATCATTTACTGTGACGTTCAGCCGGAGCTCAACACCTGCAACCTGAGCTGGCCTGAACCACATGATGTGTGGTCGACTGCCTTCATCCTCTACACCGCCATACTAGGTTTCTTCTGTCCGCTGATGGTCATCTGCCTGTGTTACCTGCTCATCGTGATCAAGGTGAAGTCGGCCGGGGCGCGGGCCGGACTCTCCAAGCGCCGCAGGTCCGAGAAGAAAGTGACGAGGATGGTGGTGATCATCGTGGTGGTGTTCGTACTCTGCTGGCTGCCGTTTTTCATGCTCAACATCATCAACGTGATCAGCACGCTCCCGGAGAACGGCGTCGTCACCGGCGTGTACTTTCTCACCGTCATCCTGACCTACGTCAACAGCTGCGCCAATCCGCTGCTCTACGGGTTTCTGTCGGACAACTTCAAGAGGAGCTTCCAGAAAGTGCTGTGCATCCACAGAGTCAACGGGGTCAGCGACGGACTCCCTAGTCGCGCACGCCTGAGCAGGAACCATCATAATGAGCCCTTCATCCCTCCAAGGAGCTTCGACCTAAACGAACATGTCCAGAGCTATCAAGTAAGCTCCTTTCATTCAGTATATTATCATTATTGTGTTTCTAAAACACCCAAGCCCTGTTTACGCCTGGTATTAAGATGCGTTTTGGTTGATCGGATCACAGGTAGACGAGGGAGACACATTCCCGTTTACAGCTGGTGTTTTAATCCATCTCTTTTGTCCACTTTCATCCACTTCTGTCCTGATTTCTTCGAGAGGAGGGTTTATGAGAAGAATGGTGAGAGAACATTGTGATTGGTACGTTTTTCGTCTTCAAACCAAACTTGGATCTTTAGCCGTTAAAGTTTAAATCCCGTCTGTCTAGCGCGCTTTCCATAATGTTCACGCGTTAAGTAGGCGGTCTTTTGTGGCTGTTCGAACACATTTGACCACATGAGCGTTTACACCACGAAATCAATCCAGTCGAATGCGTTTTTTAAACAACCTCTGGAAGTGGTAGAAAGTGGACAAGCTCAAAAGTTTTAGACCCCATTTACACCTATATTTATCTGATCGATGAAAACACTTCTTAATACCAGGTGTAAACAGGGCCATAGAAACACCTTCTTAGCGCACATAACATTGTTTAAAACAATGCATAGACGTTCATGTATTATGAAGACCATGGTCAATGTTGTTATTGTGAACTAAAACTAGTAAAAATCTTTTTTGTTAATTGAAGTAAAGCTATAAAGTCTGGAAACACTTTCAGCAACGTCAAATTGATTACATCTGACAGGAGAAAAAAAAGTAAAAGTATAATCTAACATATAAATGTTTCATATATTTATTCACATCTTGTGGATTATTTAGTCATTTACAATCTGTAACGAAGTTCGTTATTAAGGGAAGGGGGAGGCGAGAACAAAAATGAGTAAACAACGAAAACAAAAGTAAAGGGTCAGCCTCTCACTTCATTCCCATGGCTCTCGGCCTTGCTCTGCTTGCTACACAATCATTGCAATTATTCAGTTTCTCTAAGGCCTTCATTTTATCGCTCATTAGTGATAGCACTGTGAGTAAAGAGGGAAGGATGGCTCATCGATTACGGTCATAAACGTCAGGCTTATCAGAGCAAACAGCAGAGAACATCACGAGTAGAACATCACTAAATCTTCTCGAATCACACAGGTCTGAACCATCACACCTTCAGACATCAGATTATGAAACAATATCCCCAAAGGGATTCAGAACCATGAACACAAAACAGCCAGGTACATGTTTCTTTTCTCATGGAGCACCAACATTCCAAACATTCTAATTAGAATCCATTTAGAATTGTGTAAAACGTGGAAGCTGGAACCTTTGTATGTTGGAGTTTGTTGGGGCCTTAATAAACAATAAATCTGTTAAATGGTCACTATTGCATTTTGGACCCTACAACTCCCCTGGTTGTTCTGCAAGTAAACCCCCCTTAAAAGTAGATCTTAAGGAAAACAAATTCTCAGATTACATCCGAACTGCACTCGAAGAATACAATTCTTAGAATAGCTGCTACGAAGCGAAACGTTTTATTGTTCCCATTGTTCTTGCTTTCTGAAATTCTACACCTACCTTTTCCTTTTCAGTCCATTGGTTTGGAGGCCGACCCCTGTGCCAAAACAGAAATCCAGCGACCTGGACCACATGTGATCAGCCAGTCCATTTAAATGTTCTGTGGCAGGAAAGTTGGATGGATTTTACACACATAAATGCTTTCTGTTCTGTTCAAGTATGTCGTCTAAGTGAAGTCATTCCTGCAAACAAACACTCTCTGGTGCACAAAGACAATGTGTTTCCATATGAATATAATTCTTCTGTGAGAAGAAATCAGTGATGTTATATGTGACTGTAAAAATCAGTGATGTTATATGTGACTGTAAATATGTATTATAATGGCAAATGGCTCATCATTTTGTTCAGCATGAATGAATGAAACTGGGAATCTGTTCGTCCACGACCTTTGGACCAATTTGGACGTTTAAGAGAGGAAGTGCCTTCTGCTGTTACATTTTGATGGATCATTGATAATTTGGTGGCGGTTCTGAAAATAGGTGGATTTCCCCCTTAAAGTAGAGTGATACCCCAGCCCAGACTTACATTTCATATGAATTTGGTGGAAATGCCATAGCTTATTTATTCAAGTCTTTAAACAAACCTATTTATGATGGATGTAGAGGTTCACTAGTTGGAGGAGAAGAAATGCCCCAAACGTCCTCATAGCAGTAGGAAGCTGCACAGACAGAAGTTAAAATGTTTTTCTTTAATCTGGGTGGAAAAAGTATACCTCTTTTATGCTACCTTAGTGTTGACTCTGTTTGTCTCGTTGCTAATAAACCTGAGCTACAGAATTACAATCCGTTTCAAATGCAACCATGGGCATCTTATAATATTATCTCATAACTTGTGTAATTCTAGTAAAATACATCATACAATGTCATGGATATTATCTGATTATTATGTGCTGTATATTGTAAACAATCGGGGTCCTGGCAAAACGGTAGGAGGGGCTTATTTGTATAATCCTGTCGGGTGCATAAACAGTTGCTTACCTTCAAAAATAAGAAGGATTAAAACAAAATGCAGACAGATTTTATTTTATTTCTGAATCACCTAAATATCATCTGATTCCATTTTTGTGTCCAGGGCCAAAAGGTCAGCTGACTTTTCCGTACTTTATTGGCTTTAGATTTACAGAGACCGTACACATTAATAGACACTTTTGTAATAGGTCAGTTTAGCCAATTTTCAACTATATCCCCCGGGCTGGTACAATGGAAAAAAAAAAAACAGACATGCAGAGGTTAGAATACTTAAAACAAGAAGCATACAGACAAAATGTTACATGGATGAGACGGTCAACATTCACCGAATAAAAATAGAAACTTTTCCCCTCAGAAATTGCTAGCAAATTTCACAAACAATTACAAAGAAATGGCAAGTAACATTGAATTAAACATGAAATTCGGATGTAGAAACACTGAAATGTAAATGTACTCTGATGTTTGTTTTATTTACAACTTCGAAATATATATACAGTATATATTATGTGTGCACTTCATACTTCAAATACATTGCCAAACAATTGTTCCAAACAACACTGGACCCGACTGACTTTCATTAAACAAAGACAGTTTTCAAAATATCTTTTATGTAAAAATGAAGTCATGAGGGTCGACAGAGACAGGATTTCAATTTCAGCTTGAACTGACCCTTAAACATGGTTATGCATAACTCAGATACTTTCTCCAACTAAAGAAACTGTTGCAAGATTAGATCTGGTTGTACATTACATCACTATCCAGTAAGCAGAAAGATTCATCGTGCGTCACTAAAATGCCCACAGACCAGATTCCTTTCACTGCTTTTCTGAAATACTATATGCTCAAGTGATTCATAATAATAAAAAGCAACCTGTAAGAGGGTTCAAGACATTTCTATTAAATGGTCACTGTTGCACTTTGGACTCTATAAGACTACCGAAGGCATGCAATGCAATGCTCTGCCCTTTCTGGCACGCAGGAGAATTCCTGCAAACCTACAGATCGTACCGTCTTTACAAGTGATACTCTTTCAATTTTTGTTTTTACTTCTCTTAAAATGTTTCATTACTTTCAAAATGACTGTTTATTGTTGACATATCATCAACAGGCTCTGGCCGTTAGGGTTTCTGGTCATATGTATTCTAGTGTTTGTTTTGAGTCACTCATTTGCAGGAGCCACTAGCTGCAGTGGACTTGTTAATGTGAAAGACCCGTTTACCAACCACAGCCTTGACAAACCAGTTTGTAAGTTTCAACACTGTAATCCCACACTCTATCTTTTTGTCAACATGCCCCCTTTTTCTCTTAATTTTGTCTCTACCTCTATCATCATGTTGTTTACTGACAATCCCTCTCTCAGGGTGCAGGAGTGTAGTGTCACTTGGCCTTTTTCTGTCCAAACCTGCTGTATACAAACCCTCAATGTCAACGCAAAGGACAGTACCCATGCACTGAACATGTGGTTCAGATAACATCATATTTTGAGTTCCTGTTAAATTTTATCAATCTCCTAAAATGTTTAATTTCAATGAACTCCATTTTGAGGCAACCAGGTAACTTACTTTTTTAAAGTTCAACCAACAATCGTTTTTTTAGTGCATGCATGCACATGATTCATATCTTAATTTTTACATCATATTTTGCATAGCTTCCAAAAACAACAACATCAACAACAACAACAAAAATATTTATTTATAGAGCACATTTAAACAATATAAATTGATACAAAGTGCTAAATTATGAAAGCTCGTTTACAGAACACAGAATAAAAAATGAAAGAGGTAATTGCGACTTTTTATCTCTCAATTCTGACATTTTTTTCTCACAATTGCGTGATATAAAGTCGCAATTGCATGTTATAAAGTCAGAATTGTGAGATATAAACTCGCAAATTCAAGAAATAAACTCGTAATTCTTACATTTTTTTCTCAGAATTGCATGTTTATCTCACAATTCTGACTTTATAACACGCAATTGGGAGATATAAAGTCATAATTGCGAGATATAAGGTCATAATTGCATGATATAAAGTCGCTATTCCATGTTATAAACTCAGAATTCGGAAGACAATTGAGTCTTTTTTGAGAAAAGACAATTTTTCTTAATTTCACATTTTTTTTGCAATTGAGAGTTTATATCTCACAATTTTGTGAAAAGATGTCAGAATTGCGAGTTTATTTCTCGCAATTGTGAGTTTATATCTCAGAATTGCAAGTTTAGATCTCAGAATTCTGACTTTATAGCATCCAATTGAGACTTTATATCATGCAATTCTGACTTTATTTCTCACAATTGGGCCATAAGTGCCCTATAGCAGGACAGTATGGCACAAGAAGATCACACATTTACCTTGGTGCACAGCTGGACAATGCCATATACAAACATAAGGATAATATGATAACTCTGAATTTAATGGAAAGCCAGTGAAGGAATGCTAAAAAAAGGGGAGACATAAAGAGAGTTACAGTAATCATGAAATTACAAGTGCATGTATATCAAATTAACTTCAATCTTCAATTCACTTCACAATTCAATAACTTCATTTTAATGTGCCCTTGTGACATGTATTTACTATAATAACTATAAATTAGGTATAATTACATGCAACTAACCATAAACCAAACCCTAATCCTTCCCTAACCCTATAGTAAGTACTTGTAATTAATTACTATTACTAATTTATGTATATTTAAACTGTAACAGGGATACATTAAAATAAAGTGTAACCAAAAAAAGCTTCCTCTACAGAACTTAAGTCAAAGATTACACTACGGTTTTTTATTTGTTTGTGTACACTGGTGTAACTGTAGGACAACCTAGAATTAAAACCTCTGTTTTATCCTAATTTAGCTGCAGAAAATTATTTGTCATCCACCTCTTGATATTATTTACTCATATCAATACCACATCGAATGAAACAGTGGTGTCAAACCTTACTTCAAGGTAAAACTGAGAACCGTCCACATAACAGTGATATGAAATGTAGTATTTCTAAAAAATGTGGGCCAAGGGAAGCATATAAAAGGGAAAACAAAAGGTCCCAAAATGGATCCCTGGGGCACACCACACAAGACAGGCGCAGATGATGAGGGGAAAAAATAAGCCTGCTAGCTAATAACACACAGCAGCGCTAAATAATCCTTTCTCAACAATTAAGTCAGAAAATATCATACTGTTCATGTCTCCCCGTTCTCCAAAACACATAAAATAACACTTAAATACAATGTTGAATTTATATTCAACATACATTCTTCCCATTAACTGCCATACAAAGCATGCTGGGAACTAAGGATCCCCTACCCAGTTTTTAGTTAATGCAAAAACAAATTAATTTGTGTACAGAATAAAGTGAACTTCTGTTTTACCGATTTAATTGGATTACATGCAATGCAATAAGTTTTCATTTAATTTGACAAATTCAAGAATTGAGTTGCATCGGCGCATTTTCATTACACTAAATAACCCCCTAAAAAACAAAAACTGATATATCGATGCTAAATGTCAAGTTTATTTGCATTTTACTTTTTAAATTGGACTGGTGTGACGTGGATGTTGGATGTTTGTTTTTTGCCTCTTCTTAAGGTTTATTCACACTGGTTCCCTCTCATTGGAGTTGTGTGATTGACTGTATACTTTTTCATTTGTACTCTATTAGTGTTAAATGTCAAGTTTATTTGCATTAGATTACTGCAATTTATATGGATACTTGTTGATCCTACAGAAACGCAAATGGTTAAAAACAAAAATGTACATCTGTATGAAATACTCCAAAATACCATTTATACATTAAAAGTTAAACAAATCTCTGAAAAGACAGAGTATCTCTTTACATATTTTCTCTGTGTGAGAGGCGAGTCATGTGGTGACATAATCTGCAACTGAAGTGTTGCTGAGTGAAGCAAAACAGTTGGTGATGCACAAACAGCATGAGCAGAATTAAGAGAAAAAGGGGACGAGTTGTTCACATCAATACTGAAACCGAATAAATAAGAAAGTCAATTTGAGGACAATGCAGCAGATAGTAAAAGCATAAAGGGAGAAAAAAATAAGGAAAAACAAATACTTTGGGACAATTATCGACGAACTTAACTTCTAAAGTAATGTTGAATCCATCTATAAAAGGCAAGACATCAGCACATATTTTAAACATGAGATATAAGATTGATTCAATCTAACAGAGGAACAAACTCTCACAAGTAAATAACCAGGCAAATAAGATCACTGGGCATAAACCACATTCACTCCAGGACATATTTGCTCGTTTTATGGGGAAAAAAACCCGGCAATCGTGATATTTAAAGATCATACTAATCCCCTTCACTCTTCTTTTGAAATGCTCCAATCTGGGCATAGACTCAAAATTCCTATGACTAGAAAAAAAATATATAAAAATAGTTCCAATAGCAGTGATCATTTTAAACCACTCTAAACTTTTACCTCTCTACTTTTTAAAAGTAATACAAGAGAATGGTTGGCATATAGTGCTATTTTAATAAAATGTGAT